GTAAACTTAGGTTGCTTCCACCTTTTGGCTATTGGGAATAATGCTATGAATATGGAGGCACAAATGATTCTTCAGGACCCTGCTTCTGATTGTTTTGGATATATACTCAGAGATGGAATTGCTGCCTTATATGGAAAATTAATTTTTAATTTTTTTCAGTGCTGGAAAGTGAACCCAGGGCCTCTCACATTCTTGATACATATTCCACCACTGGAAATAGAGGTTATCCATTTTCTGGAATTTAAGCAAATCTCCTAAAGGGGAAGAGAAAAATAGGGGAGGGGAGGCAGCTTTATCTTTACTATTCTAGGGTGTCTCCAAAAAGATATGTCTCTAAACACCTCCAGAAGCCACACCGCTTCTAATTCCCAAGACCATTTGCTTGGCATCTCCACTTTCAAGAAGGCATGAATTATGCAGAAATGTGAGAAATCCATGGAGAAAACTATGGAGAATTGTCTTCTAACAATGGGCCACAATGTTAGGTGGGACCACTCTGCTCCTGAAAGCAGGGGTGGATGAGCCTTATAGGCAGGGGTCCTCTTCCCTAACTAAGGTTTAAAACCTCAGGGGCACAGTTGACCAAAGAGAAAAAAATGGAACCCAGTTTTCAGATAGCTCATATGCAGATTGCAGATAGTTATGGCGTTGCTGTCTTGTTCAGGGTGTTTCTGAAAGACAAGGAAAGGGAATCTACTTCTCCAAATAATATGACAACCACTTTGGAACTAGAGAAGCCTTGGGGACAGACAAGTAGCTACTGATTTGGCTGGATGATAAAGGATTTGGAACCTAGTATGAATTTGATTGGCGGATGATGACATGGAGGTTTGTGGAAGAGTGCTTGGATGGATCTCTTAGTGAAGAAGAATTAAAGACAGGCAGTCAGTGTAGATAGGTAATCGGGTCAGATGGAGAAAATGGAGGCCGGTTTGGGTCCGGGAAGTTGGAAACCATCCCTGGGAGATTAGAATGTTAATGCCTCCAGAGCACTTTGATTATCAAGATTACCTGCCTATAGTGCCCCTCCCAGAAGGTTGGTAATGAAGCACCCCCTGAACAGGCAGGGAGCTACTAATTAAGGCCCCCTGGGTTGCTGCTCCCTTCCTGCCCTGATCACTCCACCTTGGCCCTTCCAGCCCACCTGCTTCTCCCCAAGCCATCCCACCACCATCTCCTGGGCCTAGTCATTTATGCAGGAAGGAGACAGATAAGGGGGAAGAGAGTAGGAGAACAAAGAAAGTCTAAAATGTATAAAAGGGGTAGGATGCTTTCACTTCTTGGGATACTGGGATACCAGCTATGGCCCCCTTCTGTCTCCCAGGAGAATTCTGTGTTACATTTTGTAAATAAAACCTGCTTTATATGCTTGCCTCGGTGCTTCTCTAATGTTCAAACTTCAATATTTGAGAAAGCAGAACTCACAGATAACGGGTGGTATCATTAGAATGGACCTAAAGTTGGAGAATATTTATGTCCCTCTTGGAAGCTAAGCAGAAAGACTCACTGCAAAAGTGGCTATCACTAATCAAGTAAACAAGATGACTGCCTGTCAGGGGTTCTCTGTCCCTGTCTGAAAGGAAAGTGAGAAAGCAAGAGACGGGCAAGCGAGAAATGAAGGACAGAGACCAGGCAGAGATCCACACAAAGGCTTATTTGTCAAAGCTGACCAATAAAGGCCGTCTCTATAGGGTGGAGAGAGGCCCCGAGATGTTTGGGTGCTGAGATTTTGTGGGGTAGGGGTTTGGAGTTGGAGTTGTGGTGCTGTGGGATAGGCTCAGGGGCCTACTTTGGAGTCATTCTGACAAGTAGTAAGGTGGGAGGCGAGCCTTATCTCAGGTAAGGTGGAGCTCCTCACAAATCTTAGGGGAAGTGTTCTAGTTCTGAAGCTGATCTTTGTTTCATAAATATCATTTTGTAAAGTTTACATGTATTGTTGAGTTCACATGAATATTAGCTAACACATGATATTACATTTAAAACATGAATTAAAGAAAGGCTGGGAGCTTTTAACCTTTTGTGGAAAAGTAGCAAAACGTTTTTGTGTTTTACAATTGTCAACCTTTACATAGATTAGGCTCTCATTAACTTAGAAACATATTTAAATTGTTCGCCAGTGTAAAAAATAACATGAAATTTTATATCTTATTGATAACACTGTCCAACTGGAATCCTTACAAAAAGTGGCCATGGTGGCTGATGAACTCAGCCTAATTCCATTTTAAGATTGGTAGCCATCTTGTCACAAGGTCATGAAAAGTTCATTTCTGTTTTACTATAAAATGCTAAGATTTGTATTTGGCCTAATCATACTCTGATGTTTAAGCTTGTTTGGAATTCCTGCCCATGCTCTGAACTCACCCGTGCCTGGCTCTCCTGGACCAGATAACAAGCCTCCCTGAAAACTCAGTGGTGCCTCATAAATTCTGATGTTAGAATCTGAATTTACTCCCTACTTGAAATATGAAGTCATGTAGATCATTCACCTACCATCTGCCTTTGTATTACGCTTGCCAGAACCCTGTTAGCTGTAAGTTCCCAAAACAAGCTGCCTTTGTACCTTGTTTTGTAAAACCCCCCTCTGCCCTTAGACTAGGGCTGTTCTCTGGCCGGCTTCTGAGTGAGGTGGTCACTGGTCAGCCCTCTTGTGTACACAATATAAGCTTGCTTTAATTTGGTTTAAATTGGAGTCAGTGGTCTTTTCTTTGCGTCGAGGGTTCAACAGTGGCAAGGCTGTCCATAGGCTCCACCACACTTCTCATCAAAGCCAACCTGGTACTTTCCACCAATAGCAGATACCACAGTTGGGCACTATTCCCTGGGGACCAGCAAGCTACTTCCAGCACCAACATTCAAAGATGCTTTTTCCCCGCCTCCAGGCTAGGTATTGAACCCAGGAACTTGCACAGCTGGGCAAGCACTCCACCCTGGGCTACAGCCTCAGGCTGACACATTGCTTTTGATCCAGGAACTTATAGGAAAAGAGGAGGGCAATGGATTCTCTGGTCTAACCAAGCACCCATCCACCAAAGGCAGCTGGCCCTGGAGAACAGCAGGACAGCCTGTTGAAGCCCAGGTATGGCTCTTGGCCCAGAGACATCTGGGGAAGGGATTGTGTTCTGTACCAGCAGCCAACATGGGGTCTCTCTCCCAGCAACAACAACATGAATGGGGTGATAACAGAGAAAAAGAATTAACGAGAAACATTTTTTTTTCTGTTTATTTTCTGGAACACTACTGAGGTATAATTGACAAATAAAAATTATCTATATTCAGGGTGTGCAACTGGGAGGACTTGATGTACATAGACATATACGTGAACAGTATCCATAGCCTCAGTGAAGTTGGAACCCCAGAGCCAGCGCTGCGTCACTCTTCACAGCTCTGAGATTTCTGGTGGCAGCACTGCCAGTGGGGTGTAGAAATAGAGGAGGAAGTTTCAGCATCCATCTTAAACAGGCTGAACACATGTGACCAAAGACCAAGGCTTTGGTGCATCATCTCACAATCCACTCAGCCTTAACTCCCTCCAGCATCTGGAGAGGGAGGGTCTGTGCTCAGGGACCACCAGGCAGCAGCACTTCCCCATAGATGGAGGTGATCTTTCTCACTTTTTTTTTTTTTAAATACTGCAGTGCTGGGGTTTTAACTCAGGGCCTCACACATGCTAAGCAAGTGCTCTATCATTGAATCACATCCCCACCTCTTAAAAAACAAAACAAGTCATAAACAATAATGTATTTTATGGTCCCATTGGTGGAGAATTTCTAGAAATGGTAAATGTACATCAGTGGTTTCCTGGGCCTGGGAATGGGAACAAGATTGATGCATGAGGGAAGTTTCTATGGGGGTGGAAGTATCCTAAAACCGGATCATGAGGAGAGTTGCATTTCTGTTTAAATTTGCTAAAATCATGCAGTGGCACATGCCTGAAATCCTGGCTATGCAGGAGGCTGAGAAAGAAGGATCTCTTTCTTGATCCCAGAGAACTGAGACGAGCCTGGGCAATATAGCGAATCCTGTTTCTAAAAAAAAAAAAGAAAAAAAAATATTACCAGGGGGTGGGTGCAGGCATCAAGCCCAGGGTTTGGTGCATGTTAGGCAAGCACACTACCCCTGAGCCACACTCCAGTTCCTCGGATGCAATGTGCTTATTGCTAGAAAAATAAGGCTGATCTTTGTTTCCTAACTGTGTTGCTAGGTTTTCGTCACCACTCCAAAATACCAGGGATAATTAACTTATAAAGAGAAATGGCTTATTTTGGCTTATGCTCTCAGAGGTTCCAGTCCACGGTCCCTTGGGCCTGTTGCTTACAGGTCTATAGGGAAGCAGCATATGGCACCAGGAGCATGTGGTGGAGCAAAACCACTCACCTCATGGTCGAGAAGCAAGAGAGAGCCATGAGGAGCCAGGTCCCACTAGCCATTTCAAGGACATGCACCCAACCACCAAAAGTGCTCCTACTAGGTCCCATCTCATAAAGATCGAACCACATCCTAAGAACAGCATCCTGAGGACCAAGCCTTTAACACGTGACCTTTTGGGAAACAGCTAGATGGAACAACTATAAGCAGTTGTTCACTAGGATATTTCACACCTCTCCTGCTCCACTAAAATGAAACTTATAAAGGAGGAAATGACTCCCCCACGGTGCTAGCAATCGAAACCAGGGCTTCTCACATGTTGCACAAGTTTTCTAGAATTCAGCTATCTCTCAGTTCCCCAAAAGTTTGTTTCTTTGTTTTCTGGTCCTGGGGATTTTGAACCCAGGGATGATGTACATTGAATGACCTCCCCAGCCCTTTTTATTTTTTATTTTGACACAAGGGTCTCACTAAGTTGCTTAGGGCCTCACTAATTTGCTGAGGCTGGCCTCAAACTTGTGGTCCTCTTGCCTCTGCCTCCCAAGTCACTGGAATTATGGGTGCGTGCCACCATATCAGCCTCCAAAAAAATTTTTTTGGGGGGTAACTGGGAATTAAAGTCAGGGGCACTCAACCATATTCCATTTGATTTAGAGACACAATCTCACTGAGTTGCTTAGGGCCTCACTATTGCTGAGGCTGGCTTTGAACTCGCTATTCTCCTGCCTCAACCTCCCGAGCTGCTGAGATTACAGGCGTGTGCCACTGCACCTGGACAGCCCCCAGAAGTTTTTAAATATATAAAACAAAAGATGCGTTTGATCATCAACACACACACACACACACTCACACACACACATACACACAAAAGATGATGGGTTACAAAAGAAACCAATTACATTTATATTCAGGTGTCAATATGACACAACACATTTTGATTTTGTCCTAAATCTGATTCTTTAATAAACCATTCGATTACAAACTCTAGGGGCAGACAGAAGAATGCCCTAATCTCCAGGTGACCATGATTCTAAACAATCCTTAGAGACTTTTGCAGTAACTGTACATGATGGGAGGTTGCCTGTCACCTGTGTTGGTGACATAGCCACAGATATTACCAATTCCAGTACAGGTGGACTGTAGCCCAGCTCCTAGCTGGAGGAAAGGTTGACTTGCAGTTAGAGGTGGGAGAAAGCTGGGATCTCGTCCATGCAAGTGCTGGGGGCAGGGAAGTGGCTGTGGCTGTGTGTTGGGGTGGGGAGGTTTTCTGGTTATTTAGGCTTAGGAAGAGGAGACCTTTACTAGGGGTCAAGGACTGAATGTGTATGGACCAGGGTGTATGGATGGGGATTCTAGCCAGAGGCTATTCCTGCCTGGAGAGGCCCCAGGATCCACCAACACAACCCTTACAGCCTCCTTTAGGTTTCGGAAATCTGGAAAAATATCCCTTGGTTGGACTCCCCTCCCCCAAGCCCATCACTCAGTTCTCCCTTTCCTACACTCATGCCCCAGGTGACCCAGCCTGCTCCCTTCTCTAGAGCACTCACCATCCATATATCAGTCCATTAGCCAAGACACTGACTCTGACTCTGTTGTGGTAATGAGGGACCGACCTGGCTGACATGGTCTGACCCGAGTGACCTGCTGTGACTAGTAATGCGACTGCCTTCTTAGACACTACTAGGCAAGTCCAGCGCCCAGGCATAAAAAGGCCAGGCTTGAGAGACCTCCAGCAGCTGCGGATCCCGGGGACCTAGTAGCCAACACCATGGCCAGCCACAGCCTCGCCTGCTGCCTGCTGGGCCTCCTGGCTCTGACCTCTGCCTGCTACATCCAGAACTGCCCGCTGGGCGGCAAGAGGGCCACGCTGGAGCTGGACGTGCGCAAAGTGAGCCACCCGACCCTAGGGCCCACAGGGACCACCACCGTGCCGCTCTGTCCCCTGGATCCCGTCCCTTCCTCACATGGGAACCCAAGGAGTTTGGCAGGTTTCCACTGCTGCCCTTAGAGCTCAGTCGGGCCCCAGGACCTCTAGCCCCCTGGATCTGGCCAGCATTGCGGAGCCAGATCCTAGCTTCAGTCCCGGCAACCCAATCCCGAGTACCCCGAGGGGTGGAGCCTCCAGGGGGTCCCCACCTTCCCCGCGATCTCCCTCCCACTCAACCTCTCGGTTCCCCGCAGTGCCTCCCCTGCGGCCCCGGTGGCAAAGGGCGCTGCTTCGGGCCCAGCATCTGCTGCGGGGACGAGCTGGGCTGCTTCGTGGGCACAGCCGAGGCGCTGCGCTGCCAGGAGGAGAACTACCTGCCGTCGCCCTGCCAGTCGGGCCAGAAGCCCTGCGGGAGCGGGGGCCGGTGCGCGGCCGCGGGCTTCTGCTGCAGCTCAGGTGAGCCCTGGGAGGCCAGCGCGGGGACCCGGGCTGGGTGGGATGCGAGGGAAAACCGCCACTGACAACAACTCTCATTGCAGATGGCTGCCGCACCGACCCCGCTTGCGACCCCGAGACCAACTTTTCTGAATGATGACTTCGGGTGGTACTTCGAACATATCCCACCGCACCCCTCCCTTCCCAAAGGCACCCCCAAAGTAATGAGAATCAAACAAAACCACCGCGGTGGCACTCGCCTGTATACCTAGTGACTGGTGTCTAGGCAGGAAGATCCCAAGTTCGATGCCGTGGAGCCCCTGTCTTAAAGTGAAAAATGATTGGGGCTGAGGATGTAGCTCAGTGGTAGAGCAGCCCTGTGTTCAATCCCCTCTACTGCAAAAATAAATAAAATGAAATGAAATAAAGTAGATCTTTCCTCTCCTATTCTTCTCTCGTCTGTCAGAAATGAGGGGAGGGATCAGGGAATGAGTGACTGCTCCCTACTGGGACTGCATTTCAGCTGTGCTGGTCCAACTGAGGTCATGAGGGTCTCAAATACCCCAATAGGGCCAGCTCCAGAGCAGTGAAAAGAACCCAGCATCCCACTTCCAGCAGGGTCTGGGACCTGGAGCAGGGCACACCTGAGGAAGTCCAAAAGGACAGCATCTTGTCATCTGCACACAGTGTCTGAGAGGGGAACAGGGGAAGGGGAAGGGACAGTGGGCATCCAATGACTCCCTGACTCCTGGAGAGAGGCTGCCTACGTACTCCTGCTTGCAGATTGAAGGGGTAGAGCTGGCCAAGTGGACAGCTCTGGGGGGACAGCTGAAGGACCACCACCATGTTTCAAAGAGCTGGACTGTCACACCCCAAGGAGGCTACTGCTGTGCTGAGTTGGGGAGGCTGGACTGGGGCACCCACAAGACACTCCCCTGCTCTCCCTATAGCTGGGTCTCAACCCAGTGGCCTGACTCCTGCCTGTGTAGAATCAGAACTTGTCAGAGATGAGCACCACCCAGAGGACCTGCAGTCCTCAGCACCCACAGCCACAGAAATGACCACCAAGCACAGAGGGGAGAGCAAACTGACGAGACCCTTCCATGTATACTGCCCACCTATTCCCAGGTCAAGGATCCTTTGTGGGATCAGATAAAAGCCCATCCCTCTCTCCCAGAACACGCCTCATTCACCTGCCCATGAGGCTGGCCACACCTCAGAAGGCCCTGCTCATAGCCTACTCCAAAGTGCGGGTGAATGTACCTCACTGATAGAGAGCTTGCCTCATGTGAGGGAAGCTCTGGGTTCTGTTCCTAACACTGTGAAAATAAATAATCATATAAATAAATAAAGTACAAGTAAATAACAATTAAATATCTCATTTCTGTAGTTTTCTCCCATATCTGACTAAGTGGAGACCATCAAGAATGAGCCTCAATGGCCCACCAATAATGGGTGAGGCTCAATCACAAGGTAGAGACTCAAAAATTTATTCTGTGAGGATACAAGGTTTGAAATTAATTTACCAATTATTTTTTTGGTGATGGGGATTGAAGATTGTATATATCAATTATAAAAATAGTCAAAACTAACGTATGGTGCTGGATTTCTAGGATGGCACAATGACACAAAGGGATGCTGAGAGACTTCTGGATTGCTGCTCACATCCTGTTTCCTGGACTGGAAGCTGGTGAAACAGTGTTTAGTTTATAAGATTAACTAAACTGCTGGGCGTGGTGGTGCACTTGTAACCCCAGCTACTGGTTATGCTGAGGCAGGAGGGGTGTTTTACTGTCTAGGGGAGGGTTCATCGTCTCTGTTCAGCAAAGAATTGAAGAACAGGACACAGAGATAGCAAGCAAGTAGTATGTTTTTTGCAAAAGCAAGATATAGATTTCAAAGAGAAGGGGATGCATACCTGGGAATCCAGTGGGGGAATTTTAGCGTTTTCTTTTTATGGTCTCTGGAATTTTCTCCTTTCCTTATCTTCTCCCCTGTCTATGCTCTCCTCACTGTTATTGATTGGTCCCCCCTCCATCCACACATCTGTTTCAGTTTTTCTATTGGGTCCTCTGCTTAGGAGCACAAGTATGGAAGTGTCTCTATAATTGGGTCCTCTGCTTGTATCCATGAGTACTTTTGTCAACCAGGAAGTTGACCTCATCAGAAGACCTCTCCACGCTCCTTTGTTCTGACCCTGCCCCCAACTTCCTCACTAACCATCTTACCGTGGCTGCCTAAGTCCTTTTACATCTCCCTCAATTTCCCTCTCAGAGGATACCCTGACTACTGTTGGGAGTTGGGGCGATGACCACTGTAGCTATTTCAGGTCTACAAGGGGCATCAATGGAGTAACCAGGATATCCTGCCGAGGAAGGTCTAGGGTAAGTGGGAAGCAGCAGGCAGGTCCAGAGGCCAACACTGATGATAGACATCAGTGGGTCCATCAATGGGTCCACGGTAGAAGTCTGGAGGGGGCTCATTTGTAACACCATCTGAAGTTTTATTGTCTCTACCCAAGAGGAAACAAAGCAAATAAGCAAATTGATAATGCAAGGACCCCAAAGAATTAGCAACAGGGCTGACAGAGGCACAAGCAAAGGAAAAAAACCATGAGGTAGATTTTACAGCTTTGGATAATCTGTTGGATGATGTCCTTCAAGTGTTTTCCTGAAGACATTTTCTGTATTAGGGTGAGAGTATTATCTCTTTCCAAATGGTAGAGGTGATGGATAGACTTTAAAACTTTCCACTGGGATGCTTGGGGAAGTGATTGGATGCCCTCAGGAGAAACACACCCCCCTCTATAATCTAGTTGGTATCCCTGATTAATAGCTTGCTGAGTCTCTTCCATCGAGTAGTGGGGACATTCAGGGGACAGAAAAGAATTTTCCTATAGGAGTGGGGCAACTGTGGAACCCTGTAAATCAGCTGCCTTGGCTGCTACATCCGCAGCCCTATTTCCTTCAGCTATTGTGTCCTCTCCCTTCTGATGTCCAGAAATGTGGATAACTGCTACCTGAGAGCTCAGGCAGAAAGATTGCCTCTAGGAGACAAAGAAACTTCTTGGCATGCTTTACAGCAGTTAAGCAGTCTTCACTTAATTAGTGAGCGCAACTAATTCTGCCACTGAGCACTGGTATTAGTAGGGAGTAGCTCTGATTCAAGAACCTCAAAATCTGTCACAACAGCATATCCAGATCTCCAAGTCCCATCAATCACCGATAAACTCCCATTGGTGTACAGAGTGAGATCAGGATTATCTGTAGGATGCTCAGATAAATCTGGTCTGGCAGTATAAGTTTACATTAAAACTTCCTCACAGGAGTGGAGAGGTTTTTCCTCTATCTCAAGTAAGAAAGGTTGGATTGAGGTTATGACAAGTCTTTAAGGTAATTTCAGGTCCTTCCAACAAAAGAGCCTGATATTTGAGTATATGGTTGTCTGTTACCCAGAGAACACCTTTAGCATTTAGGATTCCTCCTGTGCCATAGGAGGTAAGTAGAGTTAGCGGGGCTTCCCAGAGTAGGTTTATGTTCCTCAGGGACCAATAGTCCCATTGCAGGCACAGTGCTAAGACATCCAGGCCACCCCTTGGCCACCTTGTATGATTCTTTACTTAGGTATCTCCCTGGCTGGAGAGCGGCCCCTCATGATTGCATAGTGCCAATCCATTCCCCAACTGAGTGGGCAAGCCCAGAGCAGGGGCCTGGGTAACAGCTCTTTTTAACATATTGAAGGCTTTCCTCACCTCTGGAGTCCAATTAATAATTGCCTGTGCTTCCTTAAGGCATTCATAGAGGGGTCTTGCCTTCTCAGCATATTCAGGGATCAAAATTCCACAATATGGAGTGTGGGAGGCCGTTGCGCTGTGCGACCAGTATTTTCCTTACCTGATTGGTTGAGGTTCTGTCAGTCACTTCCCGTGATCTGTCCACATCAACGTGGCCCTAGATGGCTGCCCTGATCCCAGAAGTCGCAAAATGTCGCAAAATGTGTCTTCATGAGTAGGTGTGCCTTCCTGCAGCCCCATGCGAGCTACGCTCACCAGTTCATTTGTGATATTACCCCCTTGCCCTGTTTGGGATAGAATGTTCCATGGAAATGACCTTTGTGTGTCCCCTTCTTTACTCTGCCCTTGGGTGTGGCCTTCCTAGATGTCAGTTAACCTGCTGACAGTGAACATCATGAAACTAGACTCAGCCCCCTGAAACCTGACCCCTTGCCTCTTTTGAATGGCTTCTCCTCAATAAAAGGGGCCAGCACTCTCTCTCTCTCTCTCTCTCTCTCTCTCTCTCTCTCTCTCTCTCTCTCTCTCTCCCCCAACCCTTAAGGTCAGAGGAGCCGTCACCTGACCCCAAAGAAAAAGGTACCTCTTTCTCTTGTGTGGTTATTTTGTGCAGCCCAGTTCCCCAGTAGTGACTCTGAGTGTTTTTGTCGCCGGGAATGGGACAATTGGGCTGTTCCCAGAAAGCCCCTGAGTCACTTTACCGTCTGAGGAAGGGGATGGAGTATGGGTTGAATTCTTTCTGGGCCAAGCTTCCGAGTTTCACCTTTCAATACCATGTCCAAGTAAGTAACCTGGGATAGCACAGCTGAGCCTTCTCTCTGGAGACCTTATACCCCCTAGTGATCAGGAAACGGAAAAGAGAGCCAGTGTCCTCAGAAATCAGTTTTTTTCTGAAGGGCCACATAAAAGAAGGCCATCTACATACTGAAGGAACACTGTTTTAGGGTGTGACCAGTCCATAAGGTCTTGTGTCAGTGCTCATTCAAACAGATGGGGACTATCTCTAAATCTCTGGGGAAGGACTGTTCAGGTAACGTGTCCTGCCTTAGAATAGGATCCTCAAAGGCAAATAGAGGTTGGCTTTTTGGATGTAAAGGAATGCAGAAAAAGACTTCCTAAAAATCTAGGACAGTATAATAAGTAGTTCCCTGGGGAATCTGGGTAAGGAGAGTAGAACAACTGGATGCAAGGGACCATTGCTTCAAGGATTATATGAAGGTCCTGAACTAATCTCCATATATTGGGGGTCCTTTGGGATCCCCAATATAGGAATATTATAAGAGCTGGAGCACTCCACCAAAAGTCCCACTGAGCTCCACCTCCAACTTCTGCCTGTTTCTTAATGAGCTAAATATTGAACTTGAGAACTGTGAGAGATCGGAACAAAAAAAGCCCAAACATACATGAAGGAGAAACAGAAAATAACAAAGGACAGAAAACACAAACAAGGCGCTCAGTGGTACAGCACAGGCCTCGCCAGTAAGAAGTCCTGGGTTCCATCCCTGACATTGCAAAAACAAAACAGGATAAAACACACAAAAAGCAACCACACACACAAAAACAACAGGGGAGGCTGATAAGATGAAAAACTATTTATATAAAAATATAGAAACAAAACAGTCCTTTGTGAAGA